TAGCTCTTAGCCCATCGTTCTTAAATCATGTTTCTGTGATGCGGTAGGGCTTTCATATGTTTGATTTTGTCTCCGAAAAGTACACGCTGTGGTTACCACATAATGCTTCAAAATACCACCGAAATACATTTCCAAGTCCTCCTACATCTAGTTCAAGGTATGTCGCAAGTAGATATAACTACATGCTAGAGAAGTGTTTTAACACGTCAACAATGCCTTCGTTGACAGTAGTTTTCAAAATATTTTCAAGACACTTTCAGAATACTAGAAATCCTGGTGTGAAATAAATTGACTTCGTTTGAAAAGTCTGTGTGGGTTTCATAGCCGTCTAATGTCTACCTACTTGTGTGCCTGTTCGCGCACATCCCTTGTGTTTAATCCCTCGTCTGTTTGGGGAACTTGCCATAACTGAGCTGCATAACGGTTACAAGCATTCAGCATTCACCTCAATATGCACTGATGCATATGGCATAGGATGGCCGGATGTCACTTAAAATATACTGATCTGCCAAGAAAAAGACAAACTATGGAGTTGATATATTGCATAGATAAAGAGACAATGGCAAATAATGCTGATACCTAAACTGATCATACAGTATTTCTGGGCCCGTTTATACATCTCTACACGCAATGGAGGGGGGGGGGGAGGGTCTTGGTCAAGCGTAACCGAAGCGTAGCACGCGAACAAGACTCGGATAGCTTCATGACGAAATTGTAACAAACATTTTAACAAGTTTGCTGGGAGGAGGTGGCTTTCTCTCATCCTTAGCAGTGAGCAGGAAAGGAGCCCGGTTGGAAAAAGTGCCAAAAATGCGTAACGTAAGTTATGCACAGGCCCAAGCGTATCAAAACCGATCGATGCAGAACAATGCCTGGGTATTTGGGTCAGGCTGATATGAACTCAAAGTTAAATGCGCTTTGTAGACACTCTGCGCGTGGCAACGGTCTCTGCGCTGACAGCGAGGGAGGTCGACCCACCACAGGAATGACGGCATTGAACCTCCGCGTGCATGTTTATCTTGGTCCCGCTCGGTGATGAGTTCGCGGGGGGGGGGGGGGGAGCGAGAACGGTCCGCTGTTCTGTGTCAGCAGGACGTTCCGCGCGCGACAGCTTTTGCGCTAGGTTTGTTCCCACGGGCAGGAGCGAACCGTTCCGCCTGAGCGGAGCCGCCCTCCAGCCCCGCGTCCGTGCTGGCAGCGTAGCAGGCTGGCCGGTTAGCCTTCGGGGTCCGAACAGTTATCGGCAGCGTTAACTGGCCGGGCGACCTTGGACCGGTATTTTTACCGATGACGAAAATGATCCACGCCCGTTCCCCGCCCCTCCCCCCCCCCCCCCCGTCTGCATGCCGGCGTCTCTCAGGCCGCGCCGCGCCGCACGTGATGAGGCCATCCCAACTGGAACAGGCTCAGTAGCGCCGAATGAAACCGAGGCGTGGAGCAAGGGGTCGTGGCGCCGAAGGCACACCAATTGGAGTTGTAAATGCTGCGTCAAGGGCTCCGGGTTATTGACTAATGATTAGACGCCACTTCGGGTCGGCTGATCACAAACCCAATCCTGCATGTCTCGCCGACATGTACACACCGCGTCGCAGACACTCGGGAAGAGGGGGGGGGGGGGGGGGGGGGGGGGCTTGCCCAGGGCCATCACAGGGGTCGTGAGTAGTTGCAGCTGTAAATGCCTCTTTAAAGGGAGTGTTCCAAATTTGTATGGGATTTTTAACTGAAATAGCCATCTTAAGAACAATTCGATGCAGTTTACAGCCCTGCTCTTCTAAGGATCCAAAACTTTCTAGTTTCTGAGCTACAAGCCCAAGAAGATTTGCAGGTCATTTAAAGGCTACCCAAACATTCATACCACCATAACAACGTTGCTGAAATTCTACTTTTCCACTGGCCATGTGGAGTTCCGGGTCAATAAAAATATAATTGTTAACTCGTTCATATCTGTCGTGCATAAGAACGACTTCCAGATGCAATGGCCGTCAATTAGCTCCTACCCAATGTTGTGCAAGCTAAGCAATATGCTAACATGAACAACGTTTTGTGCTGCGCAATATAAGAAGTTGTACATCCCTCCTAGCTGTTACGGAAATAAGACTTGTAATCAAATACCTTAAGAACAGCGCTATACCTGAGCATGCAAATTCGCGTAAAAATCTTAAACTCACTCATAAATAAGCACAAACGTCCCGAAAAGGGCCGGCACACGAGCATCTTATGATATTTGGTTTAGCACACACTCAGCACCGCCGCGGGCCACCTCTCGGGTGATTGAAGCACGGCAAGTGAATGCTATCATACAAACGATCCATGACCCAAACAGTGACATAATAAGGAGCGTATTTGCTAAATAGAGAGATTGTGTTGTCCAGGACAGCCTTTTTTATTTAAAAGTATATCAATAGTCATATGTTAACTTTTCCGTCATATCGGATATCTGCTTCAATATCCTCAAATTTGGAACATTCCCTCTAAAAGACGGAAGTGCCATTCTGTTCCATCTGAAATGGAATGACATCGGGAATAGAAATACAATGGAAAACCCGACCAGGCGTCGCCATCCAACAGAAATGCCTCCAGCGGGTGTTGGCGTCAGTTGGAGGGGACCTGCCGGCTCCGGGCAGCCAGCGCAGCCCCTTGTGACAGGGCGCGGTCCCTGGTGACGTCACAGGGCCGCCAGTCGCTGATTGGTCACCGGCCTGAAAGTGGTTCTCAAGGCTTCACAATCAATCAGCGTGCCATTAATTGGCTCCAAATGATCAGTGGTCACCATGTGATTGAATGGAAGTGCCTTTGTTCAGCACGCCACGAGGACGTTGCAGTGCCCGCTGTGTTATTATGCTGAGATAGGTTTAGTCGGGAATGTAATTTAGCGTAATGGCAGGCGGCTCACCTACCATTATATAATGTTTCTATCAGATGATAGTATCTGCCTTTCTGAATAACAACAGGCTCGGCTAAAACGCTCTGTCAGCTGTGTTTGTGCGAGCTTGCACGGGTACGTTGAATATGTTAGGATTGCAAACACTTCAAAATGTGATTTGTGTTCACAATTTTTTGTTACTTCCGCATGATGCGGCTTGTCGTCAACAACCTGCCTCAATGTCATGTTCTGGAACATTGTAAACCAGTTCAGCACATCTTATGTGGAAAGTTGTCACATGACACGCATGTCTTGTCCACGTGTCCTTTTCGTTTCAACGCATCAACTCGACAGAATACAGCTTGCTTCTACGTTCCCACAAGATCTTATCGACATGAGCGAGTGGCCCTTCAACGTCAAAACTCGCACGCGCCGCAAAGCTGCCGCGTCATGAAATGCCGTCCGCTCGTGCGCCCGTCAAGCACCAGCTATAATACAGCTACCACTCAAACAGCACTCACTACGTCTGCGCTCGTGGTTCCCTGCAGTGACGTAATGCATACCAGGCGAGAGTTCTCACCTGTCACGCCCTCGATCCACTTATCAAAGACATTCCGCGCTAAGCGGATCGTTATTAGTATCTGGCAACGCCACCAACCGGACATCTGGGTCAGTGTGGCCCAACCGCAGAGCGAGTGTTGCATACCTCGGGCTTGAAGGACACCCGTCCATTGTGGACTGGGTCTGCAGCTGGGCCGCTCGATTAGACAAAAACGGATACGCCACTGACAGCGAACGATTTCCCTGAAGCCTCGGCCCGTTGCGTGTTTCACGGTCGGCACGTGAATCATAGCAAAACTCGCTTGGAATGCTTGCGGATTGCTATCGCTCGCCGTTCCGCAGGCGGAAGTAACGTCACGGTCAGGCGACAGTGGCATCCGTTCAGTGCCTTCGCCAAGCTTTGAGCGGTCCGTACAAAAACGTTCATGGCATTCAATGCAAGCCAACGCTTCAACACTTCACGCTCGTTAGCGCTTGAGTCCGCTATATTCCAAACAGCCCTCAGTTAGTTGGCGTCATGCCGCGTGCCATATTTGGGATTTTCAGTAAGCTAGCCTGCGCCGAAGCTGCGCGCGCGTGTGGTGTATTACTTCCCCCTTCCATCAAACGACCGACGTCAGCTCTGGACAGCAGCCATCGGTTTGAGAGCGGCGCCGGGGGCGGCCTCTGTGGCGCCGGTTTTTTCAGCCCGGCTAGCTTGTTTAATGAACTGGAGCGGCGGCGGTGTCTTAGCCAGGACCGGCTGTACTTTCTCCGTGGCGTGACGCTGGGCCGGGTAAAAACTGGCCGCGCCGCTGCGCCCGCGCTCGTCAGCGGCTGGGGTCCGGCGCTGCCGCCGTGGCAGGTTTGGGCGGCCTGTTGGCGCTGACCAGTCAGGGTGCGTGCTCTGCTGAGCGCTGGCCTTGGCTGGAAGCTGGACTAATTTGAGCCGCGGTGTTTTGCTGAACGGGTTAGCTGACATGCGGACAAGACGAGCTTGATATCACGAATCGTTCGTGTTGTTTGGCGGTGAACCGACCTCACTCCCGTGGCGCGTTTCAAAAGGTGTACGATGAACAGCGTCGGCTAAGGGGCACGTGACCAGACGAGCTTTCCCTTTAACCGGCGTAACAGTGGTATCGGCGCGTCGTGATTTGGCAACGGCTGGGTAGGGACATGACGTGGCCGTTTTACAATAGTTTCCCTCCGACCAGCCATTTCCAAACGTTTACGGCAGCCTGCCTTTGTCTCCCTCGGCAGCCGCCGACATATGTCTCCCAGGCAAATCATGTTTCCTAATAGCTCCTGGGTTCAGCATTCTAGCCTCGGTTCTCACTTGAGTAGCTCATAACAGTGAGTCATCCCGACGCAACCTCGGCAGCCAACTCCTAAAGCCCAGAAATCGTAAGGAAGAATGGGGTGGTTACAACTATTTGAAACCCCGGCGTCGCTCATTTAACAGCGGCGGCAAATGTGCTCACGCGGCAACAGCCTGGCCAACAAGCGTCCCTCCCCCTTGAGCGACAGGCGAGACACGATGGCCGGCGCCATCTACACCCACTGCCCACGTCGGCTAAGCCATACGGTCTTTTTTCAGAAACGCATCCAACGAGATGGTGAGCCGTCGCCGCATCCTGAGTCGGTCGCGGGACGACCTGAACCTCGAAGCCGCCTATCAGGAGGAGGAGGACGACGTCTGGTACAAGAAGGATAAACTGCACAGTGTAAGTATGCACGTCATTTCCAGTAGCTCACGATATTTAGATGAGGGCTCGATTACGATGTAAACATGCAAGGCACGTGTCTTCAGTCTGTTACCTGCTAGAGTAAGTACCGCATTGTCCTCACAGATATTGTGACAGTGTCCTATGTCCTCTCCTATCCTGTGTCCTATGTCCTATCTTGTATGTCCTCACAGATATGGTGACGGTGTGCTCCAAATGTTGTTTACGTTGGTTAAACATTTGAATGTCTATATCAAGATGCTTATCCGAGTATCGGCTTGACTCCAAATATTCCAGCTATCGGTGTCGGTTTGACCTCTGATATTTCAGCCATCGGCGTCCGTTTGACTCCTGATATTCCAGCCATCAGCGTAGGTTTGACTCCTGATATTTCAACCACCGACGTCGGTTTCCAAAACGCCCGGTGTCGGGAACAGACTTGGATTATGCAGCTCATTGCGCCGCGCCACAATGCAGTACTGTCCCTGTCGGTCCGTCTGAAAGCTCAGAGCGAGTGAAGAGCGGACAGAGCTGATCGGCCTCGGACTGGCTCAGCCGATCCTAGCCGGCTTGGCTGCCTGCTTCCCTCGGCTGCCTCCGCTGGCTGCCTCCGCCGGCCGCCTCCGTCGACTCTAAGCTCGCGCCGAGGCCCTGGTGACGTCGCCAGCCCTGTCAGGCCAGTTTCGCCCGGGTCGCCAGCCGAACGCGCTCCGCCAGCGCCCCCCCCCCCCCCCCTCCTCTCCCTCCGGCGCCCATCCAGTGCGTGACTATGAGGGCGGGCGGTGGGAGTGAGAGGGAGGGGGACTGATGTGGGTGGCCCTCCAGGCTCCATTAGAGGCCGAATCAGCCTCATGGCCAGCCATGCTGCGCGCCGGTCACGAGATCAGCCAGCGGACGCTTGTGAAACCTGCGCCGCGCGCCGGGCGAATTGCGCTCGATGACCGGCGGTCGAGCGCGCTGCAGGTACACGCTCCGCCCCTCCTCCGGACACCACGCGGCACGACGCAAAGGCGGGCGCGGCCCGACCCGGATCGGCCCGGCATCGGAGCCGCCATCTGCGCCGAGTGGGCCGCTCGGCCGAACAACGGCGCGGCGCGGCGCCGGTGGCGCAGTTTCACTTTCATCTGGGCGGCTTGCTGGCCGATTAACCTTGCGCTGCGGCGCGCCGGCGGCCAGCGCGCGCTCGCGCTAACGGTGCGGACCGCGCGGCAGCTCTCGCCGCGCGTTCCGGGGATTTAATCGTGGAAAAGGCTGTCGACGAGTCAGCCGTAGCCGTTCACGATGCTGGTTGGACTTGCCGCGGCTGGCGATTGGTGCAATCCAGATCATAATATGCTTTATCGTCGGGGTTTGGGAGTATTGGCCTTAAAGGGAAAGCATGTGCTGAGATGACTCATTTAAAACCCTGCGTTAAGTATCGCAAGCATTCGCCCCTGCTTTGCGCCCGCACGTTGGTACATTGAGGAATCGCCCTTTCACCAAAAGCAAAACTCATGGCACTCTGTTCGCAGTCAGAGAACTGGCACCTAAGACTGAATCCCTTCCATTAGCAGCCGGCGTGTCACATAACTGGCAATTTAGATGACATACAGCCTTGTCATTTACGTGGGCATTCACATTTCCCGTTCCCAGCAGCCCCTGTTCCTGCAGGCTGGCATGACTCCGCGCTCCTTGATGTCCGAGCCGCGGGCGAGCTGTGCTGGTGATGGTGAACCGGAGGGGTTGACAACGCAACCGGCTGGAGCAATCCTACAGATGCCTATCATAGGTGTTGTAATGTGAGCCAGATGATCCCTTCACGTTCATCAAGAAACGCTGTACGCTCAGGCCCGCAGGCTGGCGAAGCGCTAAGCATTTGGGTTTCTTTCAATGGCAGGTGGGATTTCGCCGTCCATTTCGAGTCTTTCCTCGACTGCCGGCCATGCGACCGTTTTATCAAATCTTTGAGGTCCTGACTCTGACTGAACTGTCATAGTCAAGTTCCCGCAGAGGTCGGAACCGTCGCGTGTATTCAGGCGCAACATTTACCATCGCCGCCACCAGAGGCGGTCCAATCATCAAATTATTAATCATGACCCCCATCAAGATTTTGACGAACGGTCATCGTCATGAATGGGCCCACCTAATCGTTTGCATAGCAAGGTATGACCCAATGCAGTTCGAAGTTCATTACGACTGCGGGACACTGTTTGAAGGTCAGAGTGGAATCAATTTATCTTGGGACCCTGGAGATGATTGCGAGCAAATCGCTCGATGAACTTACGCGAGAAGGTCTAAAGGACCAATGCTACTTCATCAAGTCAATTCCAAACAGCGTGTGCCTGCTGATACCGAGGTGTATAAGCTGTTAGATGCAAGACAAGGTGATTAAACCACACACTTTGCCAGACTCGGTCTCGGACGTGCGGCTTCAGTGAGGTCCGGCCGTGATAACTCTCGTAGTTAGGTCTGGCTGTGAGGTGATGAGGCGGAGGGGATCAGTCCTGTACAGTTAGGGCTACCTGTGAGGTGATGAGGTGGAGGGGATCAGCCCGTACAGCTGTGGACCAGGAGACAGACGGTCAGTCCCTGTACCGGCCGGCTCTGATGTCAGCAGACAGCAGCAATCAGCGCAATCAGGACTGGCCGCGGGGTCAGCAGATAGCGACGGCCAGTCTGGTCAGGGCCGGGCCGCGGGGGCCGTCAGCCCCGACATTGTGCAGACGGCCCACCCGCGGCGCCTCCCCGCATCGACCCCGCTTGGAACGCAGCGGAGGTGCCCAGGACGTCTCTCGCCGTCGCTGTACTGTCTCTGGCTTCCAAGAACACATCCCTCACGAAATTTGAATACACGGAGGATTCGGCTAACAAACAATAGCGCTTGTGTATGGATTAGGTTTGGAGCTGAAGACAATGACATGAGTTTCAGAACAGAACAGAGAGGCACCTACTTTCCATTGACAGGGTACTGAACTGTGGTGTGTTGGCAGTAATCCGTCTGGGAATGAATGTTCCAAATATGGCGTCTTTCCTGTTTTCGTCAAGTACACAAAGAAACAATCGCGTTTTTCTTCTGTTTGTCATGATAACATGCACGAGGCACATGCAAGGATACCGGAATAGTCCCAAATACTTTCGTGCACTATATTTAACACGGACTCATGACTTCGCATGCTTCCTCATAGCCCATCTTCGTAATTACCATGTTGTTGCAAGGTCAGTAGTAATTACAACGGGAGTGCAAAGATACCGCTGTCGGAGTGATTAGTACGACGCATGTAAATGAAGATCATTGTTCATGACTATAATAGCGCATTGTCTCCCGACCGTGAAATCTCTTAGAACTGCCAAGCATTGCAATTTAATGCTACGTAGATGCATGCTGGGTGGCAGGATGGCCGGCTCGCGTGATCGCTGATAGCACGGCGTCATGTCGGACCACTTGCAACACATCAAGGCAAAGGTGTCGCCGCCGGCGCGCGGTTGGAGGGAGCTGGGGAGAGACTGTCAGGGAGGAGTGGGGTCGGCGATTTCGGAATTGCTTCCTCATGGCAGCGCTTAAAGTGTAATGCTGAATTTCGAGCTTATTTACGGGCGCACCCCCACCCCTCGGCGACGCCGCCACTGAAGAAAGCCAGAGAGACGGAGACGGCGTTTGCGAGTTGCCACTTTCCAGCTGTCGCACAGATAACACCGGTCATCCCACAACTCGTTCTTTAGATCGCACGGGTCCGTATTCATCTGAGCCCGTGTCGTTGGGGCCCTGCGGCCGTGCCCCCTCCCCTCCCCCGACGCCTCTCTGATGTGTCGGTCCGCGGCGTCGGTCTGTGGCGGCGCGGC